TTTCTCCTTCTTTTGCACTTTCTTTCTCTATAATCTCATGTCTTAGTCTTATTCATTATTTTCCTAAACTATTGATCATACTCATTATTTTTCAATTGTTAAAGAAAGAGTTAGCTGTTGGTGAAATTAAGAGAAAAATGGAAAAGAATTCAGTTAGTGAGTTTGTAACAACCCATCCCATATGGATAGAAGATTAAAATTGTGTCAAAATCCTTGTTGCATGTAAGATTTTACAAAATTTGAAGTATAATGATTTTTTAAGAATCATATTTGAAAAGTTAGATATTTCATTGCATAAAAGGTGTTTGACAAAACTCCTGAGAGTATTCTATTTGTTTTTATTAGGCATTAATTGGATGAATTGCATATATGGAAATCTCTTCTTGTTCTGAGCAATCCATAATTTGAAATTTAAATCTATGAACTTAGCCAATTACATATGTAATGAATTTATTTGTTGTATTTATTCCTTTTTTTAGTTTAGGGGATGCTACAATGGACTTATTAAACCTATGTGTTTGTAAAAAAGAACAATTGCAACAAGTAAAAAAATAGGAGTATTACTTTCCTAATTTGGTATCATTGCCACAACCCGTGTGTGATCGGTAGAAGGGTCATGTTAAGACAAATCTTGAGCAGTTGACAGATGCATCAGTTCAGGCTGATATATACTTTATATGAGCTTGCAATATATTTCTTTTTAGATGTTTGGAAATTTTCTTTTGAGGCGTTGTTATCATATTCATTGGTGAAGTTTCCTTGTACATATCTCTCTCTCTCTCTATCTCTATCTTTATATATATATATATATATATATATATATATATATATATATATATATCGCTCTCTCTCTCTCTCTTGTGTGTGTGTGTGTGTGTCTTGCTTTTAATTAACTGTATGGCTCGTTATCTAAAGTACAATGACTTGATAGGAATTTCTTCAAGTACAAATATGTAATAAGAATAAGTGAAAATAAAATGCTATGATACATGAACAATTGGGAACATGTTTGCTTTTTCTTGCATCTTATAACAAATTGTAGGTCGTGCTTAGCACGACCTACAAACCCTACTTGTATATATAATATATATATATATATATATATATATATATATATATATATATATCCACCCATACATATGTAGCTAATTAATTTAAGAAATATAACTAATATAAGTGATTTAATTAATAAAAATAAAATAAAAAAGAAAGAAAGAAGGGAAAGACTTGTATAGGTATCCCACACTGCCTGATCAAGAAAGAAGGGAGAGAACTTTCATCTATAAATATGTGCTCCCTTGTACCTTATACTTCATTACAAGTTGATAAAGTTGTTGGTGTGATATAAGTTTATCTAATCTTATTCTTATCTGTGAATTATATGGTTTATTGGATTTGTTGTATATATTCATGGCTCGTAAAGCAGTTTCGGAGTTCATCATAGTCACTATGTGGTGACATTATTTCCATGCAATTATTTTTCAAAGGAAATAAAAATATTTTATATGTTTAAAAGGTTTGCGTTTCAAAAATAATAATATATCATATTTTTTTTATAAAAATAAATATAGTTGTATAAGTTATTATTTTGGAAATACAAACATAAACATTTTAAACATATAAAATATAAATATATATGTCTAAGTCATGATACAAATATATTTATTTTTATAAAAAATATGATATGTTATTATTTCTTAAATACAAATCTTTTAAACACAAAAAATATTTTTATTTTCCTTCTAAAGAAAATTAATTGAGTTTAATTAATATCATATTATTCATATATTTAACTATTTTAGCATAGTTAATTATTAGCTAATACATGTTTTTTAATTTTGTTTTGAAAAGTTGAAGTATTAAACTAAGAAAATATATTCAAAATTTGATAAAACTAAATAATTTTTTAAAATTTAATTATCAAAAGTTTATATCGAACCAATATAAAATTTACCTTATTTAAAGGTAAAAATATGTTTCGGTTTTGGTTTTATAATATAAATACGGTAAAATTTATATTGGTTTGATATAAAGTTTTGATATTTAAATTTTAAAAAACTATTTCGTATTATATTTAATGGTAACCTGGAAAACTACTATTAAAGATAAAAATGGCAAAACCGACAAAAAATGACAAGTTTGCAGCATAAGCGAACCAAAAATTTGTTTGAGAGTAAAACCAACATTTTTGGCCAAACTTAAGGTTTCTTATGACATTATCTATCAAATTTGCTCTTTTTGGTAGCTTTCTTAACGGTTGAACTAGTTTTTTAATGGTTGAATATGTTGGTTGAATATGGTTTTTCATTGAACCGGTTGATTTTTACTGGTTCATTAACAAATTGTTTTGGGCCTTTAGAAAACCGCAATCAGACCGGTGAACCGGCCATGTTTCTTGGGTCTATTTTTGTAAAAGAAAAAAAAGGAAAAAAAACCCACAAAAACCAAACCACACGGTTTCTAAATTTCAAAAACCGAAGTTGCGGTTTTCGGTTCGGTTTCGGCCAAAAGTTGCACCGAACCGGTGCCATGTTCACCTCTATTAATATCAATGTTCTAAATAACGTGAGACGTGAGATTGACGGAAAGATCAAAGTTAAGCTTTGACGAGCCATGATGTTTTTCAAAGTATGACTATTTTATATACATTAAAAAAGATAAATCATATTATTATTGAATTTTATCAAATATATCAAGTTTTTAGAAGTGTTTTATTAATATTTAATATAAAAAAATTAACAAAAACTCAATTATTTTAGGCCCGAGTAAAAAAAAAAACAAAAATATCACCACCTTGAAAATCTCGCGTCGTAACGTGATGAAGCACGCTTTGACGCGTTATTTGGACATCACGTTTAATAAACTCAGCTTAGACGTTTTCGTAACGGTTACACTACGTCCCGTGTCATTACACGCCTTGCGTGCCATGAAGGGCACCATGATTAATATAGGGAGAATTTCATATATACTTTTTTTAAACATTAAAATATCATATTTATCCAACTTAATTTTTAAATATCATATTTACTTTACAAACTTCAAAATATCAAATTTACCCAAATTCTTATTTTTAATACTTTTTTTTAACATTTAGTAATAATTTTAAAATATTATTTTTATCAATTGCCTATTATACCCTTAATAGTTAATATAAATAAAGGGTTTAGGTTATTTTTGGTCACTTAAATTTTAGTTTTGTGCTCATTTGATCACTTAACTCTTTTTAAGTTTTAAAAGGTCATCAAACTTTTGGCTTTGTGCTCATTTAGTCACTTAACTTTTGTTTTCGTCACATTTAGCCACCAAACTTTTAAAATTGTGCTCATTTAGTCACTAAACTTTTAAAAATATTTAAAAGTTTAGTGACTAAATGAGCACAATATTAAAAGTTAGATGACTAAATGAGCACAATTCTAAAAGTTACGTGACCAAACCAAAAGTTAAGTGATTAAATGAGCACAGAGCCAAAAGTTTGATACCTTTTAAATCTTAAAAATAATAGTTAAAAATAATAGTTAAGTGAGCAAATCAGGAGGCATAATCGCAACTTCACTAGACTCCATTGTTAAATATATCAATTCTCCATGTATTAAACGAATGTCGATGATGATTGTTGCATGATCTGGCCAACAAAAGCTTATTCAAGCAAGATATTAAGGATAATCCGATCACACCAGTATTTGGTGTTGAAGAAAACCCCACTGGAGCCACACGAGCTTCAAAATTAGGGCAAAACTAAAATATTTGCAGTGGTGTTAAAGAAAACCCTACTGGAGCCTATGAACAATACTTCCTGCGGAATTGAAACAAAAAACGGAGATATGGGAGTTCAATCCACTCGTTCGACTCAGGTTTGAATGCAACCACTTGATTGTTTTCAAGAAAATGTTGTTTTAGTTGTAGAGGAAGAACCAAGGGGTGATGTAGTGGTGGCGACGAACAATGGGGAGATGATAATTGAGTGTTAGAGCTTGTAGACGACGAGCTTGGTTAAATCAAAGCTGAGGAATAAAAAGAGATTGTTGAATGAATCAGTTTCTTTTAGCGGGCTTGAATCTTCTATTCACAAATGAACCGTTGAAGAAAATTGGGTATTTGCTTGGAATGTATAAACGGATTTTGAGATTAGCAGAAATATGTTTAGAGAAACATAAGAAAGATAAATACAATTTCTGTGGAAGATGGGTCGTTCAACAAATTGGTCACCCTCCACAACCATAACAGTAGTTCGTCTTCTTGAATGGATTTTAATTAATGGAGATTTCAATAGTATATTTAAAATCTCATTTATAAGTAATATATGGTTTTTGTGAAACACTATAATAAAGAACCTTAACAATTAGTTTTAAGATAAGATAAACATTGAAGTATAAATGTAGTTGAGGGTATTATAGTCATTTAAAAAAAATAATGATTTAAAATGGTTATAATATTTAAAAATATGGATTTGGATAAAAATGGTATTCTAAAAGTTTATAAAGGGGGAATATGGTATTTAGATTTTAATATACATTCAAATGAAAAAACAATAACCGACTGTTATTTCTTTTCTCTCGTATATGTGCGTGGATCTTATTGGGGTCTCCCCTCTCGTTGGTTTGGGGAGCAGGAGTTTTACAGCAGGGCATGCCGTTTTAAAAGTCGCTGCGTGCAAAGTGGTAAAGCACGATAATGCATGTATAGAAAATCAACATGTGTTTGTACTTTTTGCATTCGATACATTTGGTTTTCTCGCACCAAAGGCGGTAGAGCACCTCAATAGAATCCAACAGATCATGCATTCTAATGTCATATCTCCTAGATCCACAAATGTTGTTTTCAAAAGAATTGGTTTTGCCATCCAGAAAGGGCTAGCGACGCAGCTTGTTCCGCGTTTGCCTTCGATCTATATGTATTGAACTTTTATAATTAAATTGGGGTTTGCCGTTAAAAAAAATAATAATAAATAAATATACGATTGTGAAAGTTTATTGGCACACAGAACCGAACCTTTGTTATTAATGGCTTCTACGACACTCGGGACTTGTTCTTGGCTGCTGCTTTGGAACACCATATCCAGACCTCCATTGAGCAGTCCCTGTTTGGGTTTTTTGCCTTGTGCCCGAAACCCTAGCAGACTCCCCATCGTCAGAGCTGAGGCGAGCAGCAACGATAAAGATACCTTTGGGTTGGGCAAGTCCAAATCTAAACCATCCGATTCTAGCGAACAAAAATGGGTCGCTAAAGGTCTGATTACCGGATCGCTTCCGAATGGAATGTTTTGGGTTCGTCTAGAAAATGGTGATGTGGTTCTAGGTTATGTATCGGGGAAAATTCTTCGCAATTCTATACGAATGTTGCCGGGGGATAAAGTGAAAATCGAAGTGAGTCGATATAATTCGACTAGAGGGCGTATAGTATATCGGATTGGTAACAAAGATCTGTAGAGATACTAGATCCTAAAGTTATTTTACTAAATTGAGTGAGTGAGTGAGTAAGAACTAAGAAGCTTGTTTTTTGGGGTTCTTCGGTTTATGCTGTTTGTAATTTCCATTATATATCATATGTGTTATGTTTGTTTGCACCTTTCAGCATTCCTAAGGCTAACCATTTGAATTTTGAAACGTGGATGTCCATTCCAAGGTTGAGTTGATCTTAATCTAAACATGAGATGAAAGAAATTTGCATTTGTGATTATGAGTTACTAGATGCAATCTCCTTTAATTTCTTACTGTTTGTTTGTTCAGTATACCTTATAAATGTTTGATATATAAAAATTTAATCTAACGGGCTTTGACGCATCTCTTTCCAACCACAAATAAAAAAAAAAAAATTGACTGAAACCAAGGAAGATCAATTTGTTGTTCCATTCCATAATCAGCATATCTGTGGTGGTGACTTACATATACATAATGATACATACATATACTATAGACTAAAGTTTCCTGTTGTAATAATTCTAAACTCTAATTAATCAGGTGTTTTAAGGAAGTGGCTAATCATGGCAACTTGGATTGATACTCATCCTCTTCAGGGATGGGTTTCATATCACTCTCACTCTGTCTGAAAAGCAAAAGTTGTAGAAGCTGTTGCTTGGTGATCACCATCTTAATCCTCTTTGTTCCAGCTGCTGCCGGAGCTTGGTCTTTGTTGTTCCACCATCAGTATCACCATTGTTGATTCACCCTGTGTACTTGTACTAGCTCCAGGTAGAAGTAGAACATAAGAATACATCTTACCTAATCCTAACTTGAGTTTGTATTTAGGAGGGTCAGCACTCGAAAGTTTTCTAGTATCTCCCAGTCCTTCCATTGGCATGTTTTCCTGTGGCTGTGTTTCTTTTTAAGTTGCATAAATCACATATGTTGGTCATGTGTTGTCGGAAGGATATTTTTAAGGGAGGGGTTGTACACTTGTACTTGTAGTCTTGTAGGGATAGTGGAAAAGGTGTAGGGGTAACGTAACTTTCTCTGTTGAAAAAAGGGCAAGTGGGCGGTATGTGTGTGTATTTTGTATTTCAACAGGCGGGCGTGCGTGCAATGGAAGTTGATGTGGCTCGTAATTCTTACTTTACACCAACACAAGTACACTACACAACTTAAGTTCATGCAATGCAATAAGGCTATAAGGCTAGAGAGTGTGGGCGCGGTAGCACCCACGATTCCCCACATCATATGTGGGGAACACCGCACCATCTCGTACAATCTTTCCTCTCTCATTGTCTTTGCCATGGTAGAACCATGACATAACACCCTCTAGCCGAATACACTAGAAAATAACAAACGTTTGTAATCATCTTTGGAAGTTGTATCTCTACCTTGGAGATTCGATTGTATATATACACACATATTGTTGATATTGATGTAATCATGTCCAGAAGATTTATATTTATTTAAAAGAGACCCTTACCATATTACCCAAAAATACATATATTAGGACATTCTTAGAGAGCTTTGGGCATAAAATGACCCAACATGGATCCTTATAAATAAAAAAGGTAGTAGTAGGTTGAATTGGGTTGAGATTCTAAATCAGTTTAATTAAATCGATTGGTCCAGTCAACCTAATCAACTAAAAATGTAAAATGTTAGGGTAACGTTGAAATCTTATAACTAATATCAACCTACCAACATGTTCAAAAATAAATTTGGTTATATTATTTATTATGTTTTGTTTCAGTCCTTATAAGTTTTAAAATACAAGCAATAAGTCTTAAAACTTTTACCATTTCAAGAGCCGGCTAAAGACATCGTGACAGTAATTGGAGAGAGATTCCATACAATGATACATCACAATTTGTTATCCACTTTACTTGTTTGCTATTTGGTGTGTGATATCTAACCAAATGTTATAAAATCGTTATAAAATCTTGAAGAGAGTAGCAATAAAACCATATTCATCATATAATAGGAAAATAGACCGGTAATTTTAGTAGTGTGAGTTAGTTGTTGCTTCATATTAGTATTAAAAGTAGCGCCGCATGATCGTGCAGTGCAGTATGAACCCTAAGGCTACTAGTTGTGGACAACATGTTAAAGAGTGTTATCACACCGAAAAAAATGCCACCTCACATGTCACGTCATCTGTGGTTTTATAACATGAATCGAGTAAATTGACAACATGTTATAACATCCATTATTTTTCATGTCATCATTTTCTTTTTTATTTTTTTTTTCGATTTATTTCTCTATTATTTATTTCTCTATTATTTTTTATTATTTATTTTTTCGATTTTTTTAAATATATATAAAAATAAAGATAAATTAATAAAACATGTCATTTAAATACATCCTAAATTAAACATAACATTTAAAACTAAAACAAACATTACACGAAAAAATAATAGGATAGTCCAAATTTAAAAAAAAAAATAACATTTAAAAAAAAATACATTTTTCCCAAATTATTCATCTTGGTTAGCATCGTAAATATAATCTGCCAAGTTTTTTCGAAGTTGTCTGTGTTTTTGTGCGTCTTAAATATCAATGACTCTATGTAAATATTATGTTGTCCCTGGTTGAAATTGCACGTGTCTGGGTTCCGTAGCCAAATTCTCTGCAATATTTTGTCATTTATCTTCAATCACCATGTTATGCATTATGATACATGCATACATAATATCTCGTATAATTTCTAACCGATATGCTATCAGGACAAACCAAAGAAATGGCATGATGCAAGGTTAAGAAGACGTAAAAAATTTCAAGAAGGTCAACATTGCCAATGGTGTGTACCAATCGGGGACAACCCAAGAAAGTGAGATTCGGTCTCCTCTTCATCGCCTTTTTCACCGATTGATCACTAATACCATTAACCAACAGCAGGAGGGGGACAAAGTCCCAAGCTTGGATGTTTATTTTATGTGGAGTCTCATTACTCCAGGTGTACTTATTGATGTTCTGTGGCATGTGGCTGACTTTTTAGCAAACCGGGCCGGAAAAGATCGTCGAGGGTCACCTTTGTATGGTGGCATGTTAATCACAAGGTTGGCGAGGTCGTTTGGGGTCCTCCAAAAAAGGGAGGCTTTTATGCTTACTGTGGAAACTAGCAAGCCTTTTAGTCCACTTCTCTATAAACGAGCAAATATTATGGTGGACAATAGGTTTGGGAACTATTCCATTCCAAATGACAACCCACGAGACCGGCCCGGGAGGAGAGTGAGACAAAGGGGTGGTGAACCGGAAGAAGAGCCACCCGTGATACCTACCGAGGATAAGTTGCCCATGGACCCGTATAATGTTGCTTTGCATCGATATCAAGACAACTTGGGGCGAGGTGTTAATTACACCAACATACACCTCGAAATTTTGATGCAACATATGAACATCCAACGCCCAAGTGCGTATCCAGTCTCATACCCCTACATTCCGACATGGGACGATCTTTGGGCGGAGCAACACAAAGGAGCTAGCGGGAGTGGAGGAGGACATAATGATGAAGAGTGAAATTATCCTTTTATTTGTTTGAAGTGGATTTAAGAAAATTTTATTTTTATTTGTTTGTGTTTGTTTGTTTTGTTTTATTTTCTAGGATGTTGGTAATTGTAGGATTTTAAGTATTTGGTTTTATTTGTTTCCTTGTTTTTGTCGTTTTAGTCTCTAGATTTCCCAGTGGTTCGAGTTTGGTGAGAGGAGTATTTTTCGTGAGACTTTGATGAATTTGAGTGAGGGGTTAGGAATGCGGCGAGAGATGCGAGATTTGAGCATATCGAACGTTAATTTGATCACCCAAGCTGATGAGTCACGTTTCCAGAAGTTCACATCATCATTAGTGACCAATTTTTTTCATTTTTCCACCCACCACGACGTGGTATCGTTACAAAAAACAAAAAATAATTTTCATCTATTTAACACGACGTGGTCTACCTACCACGACGTGGTGACTGTTTCAAGTCAACTTTTCAAGTCTATTTCCTACACCTTACGAAGTACAAAATGTCCAAGTGTGAGTACAAGAATCAATGCGCAAGGACAAGGTTTGAAAACTCAAACCTTGAGTTAATCTTAAAGATCGATGTCTGCTCTTAATTGATGTTCCAGTCAAGTCTGGTAATACCAGTCGAGACTTGAAGTAAAGATTCAACAAAGTACATAAATATTAAATGAAGAAACTATGAGTATGATAAATGTAAAGACAATAAATGAACACGAAGAATGTTGTGAAGGTTTTGACTTGAGAGAAAAGTGAAAGAGAGTTAAGAGGAATATTTTCTATCTTTAGAGGAACAATTTGTATCTTTCTTGTCATTAAAATCACTCCTTATATAGGAAAATGAGGTACATCGTACAAACTACAAAACGTTCCTAGGACTGGATAATAAACAGCTTTTGACAACTGATTATCCAACATATTCAAAAAGCTAAGTCCTATGAAACGTAACATCAATAAAAAGGAGAAGAAACAATAAATGCATAAACAGACTATCAATATCGGATCTTTGCTCAATCTCAGAATGGTCTTCACTTCGGACTCCATCTCTACTTCGGAACTTGCTGACTTCGAATCTTCAATACATGTGATTGCTAGAGGTTCACTTTCAGATTCCAATAATTTCCCCCAAAGTGAACTTAGCAATCTAGTCAGCTAGTTGGCTTCCTCTTGGACGAACACATGAGCTCTGAACAACCAATCTCGGACTTCAAGATACCATTGAAGCTGACTTATAAACTTGGACTTCACATGTTCGGGGGCATCTGACTTAGCTGCATTTTTTATAAACTTTTTAAGAGCTTTGGAGGGTGTTGAGTCTAATTGTGTTGCGTCTTGGGCTTTATGTTTTGTATCCGGATTGGGCATGTCCATCCGTGTTTATCTGATAGGGTTATACTATAAATATGCATGCATGTATGATTAGACGGGTGATAATTACGTTTATTGTTTTGTAACCCTAAACACCTCTACAGTTGAAGTTCTTAATCGAGCTCTTATGAGGTGTTGAAGTATTAAT